AACAAACTTCATTTACCTACTGCTACCAGTACAGCTTTCCATCTATTCTAGGACTGCTTTTCCCAACCTCTGTTACTCAAGGAAATATCTCTAAATTTTTAAATGTTCAATGACACACCTGGATGGGAAGTCATCTCTACTTCTTCAGAATAAAATTGGAAATATATGTATGTAGGACATGCTGTTGAATGTTAGGCTGAGAGGACCCCACGTTCAGATCAGAAACAGGGGACAGAGAACAGAAGCCTATTTGAAATCAAGCTTCTACTCCCCTGGGAACCACAATGATCCTCGCAACACTGAACAAAAGGCTATGGACAAAGCAGTCAAGGATTCTGGACCATAAACCATTTTTCTATCTCTGGGCTGTATACATTCAGAAACGTCACTATCCTGCATTAGCATTATCTACCATGCCCATACATTATGCTTCTAAACAGACAAATTGAAAATACTGGGATTTTCTGTTTCAGGAGGTTTTTCAGGTTACATAATGAATTTGTTATCAGATCATTTGGTCTCTGTAAGAGGAAGATTCAGAGACTGGGGATGCTGTTCATCAACCAGAGGAGTGTGACCTGCAGGAAAAACGCTGAGACAAAGCCCAAGGTCAGGCAATCAGAGCTCTGCAGGGAAACAAGAACCCAAGTAGGACATGTCTGACTAGGGATACTTTGCTAACCCACTTAGGCTGAACCAACACCCTAGTGTGCATTCAGGTCAACCCCATATGGAGAAGGGACTGGTGGAATGTTGGCACATTACTCAAAACCCTTCCACCACCCATACTTTAACCATCTAGTAGTCTTAGCAGCTTATAGGATTTCTAAGAGAAATCCAGGAGCTGGGAGATTAACTATTGAAAAGATTTTTTCTGCCTATGGTCATGGAAAAGGGGAAGATGGAAAAAAAAAAGAAACAGTAGAATAGAGCCACAGACCTCCAGTACCCATGGAAGACTTTTAGCAGAGTTTTAGTTCATGAAAATGGAGAGAGAAACATATATTGATCCTTGGAAGAGAGGGGAAATAAGAAGGGAACTAGCAGTCTGCACATGGGGATAACTGGAGGTGGAATTTCTTGTCTCAGCACCACTCATCTGGTCTTCTCACATATTAGCATGACCCAACACACTGGTTGAGAAACACTTTTCTAGTCTCTTCTCTACACAGCTCAGTGATGAACACAATGTTTTTCGAGAGACCTTAAACATAGACATTAGCAGACCACCACCTTCGTACCAAAATTTCATTCATCAAAAAAGTGAACAATTGTGAAGTCTCCTGAACTGTCATATATCCAGTATCAACATGTTACACTTCATATTTTGATGACACAATGCTCTAAGTCAAGACACTCAGCTTAAGTGAGGAGGTGCTTCGCAAACAAAGTGCCTCATTTTCCTTTTTTGCACAGAAGAGAGGACAAAAGCTTAATGCTAAATAGGAATGGAGCACTCCCTGGCCTCCACTAGCAGCCAAATCCCATGGCTTAACAACTAGGGAGTTACAAAGATCCATAAAGACTGAACAACGGACAAACCCGAAGCCAAGCAGGTACCTCCAAGAACAGCCATTAAAGACACATTCTGTGCCTCAGCCCTGTCTTCACATCCTTTTTAGGGCTCTGTGTCCCTGTTAGGAAAAAGAGAACCTGAGTGCTAAGGGATAGAGTGAAAAGAGGACATTCTCTCCTCTTCACCAAGCCAATGAGGTTTGCTGAGCGCTAAAGACATACTGCTTTTGCAGTTTCCTTCTCAACTGTCATGGTGTCAGCAGATTTTATGGGAGGAGGGAGGAGGGAACGGACAGGCTCACTACCCAGAGCAATTTTTGGATGCAATTATGAGACTCCACTGGCACTGCTCTAGGATCTGCAAGTTGGAGCAAGCTGCCCTGCACTTAGAGGAGGGATTAACTAAACCAATTTCATCTAAATCAATTTGCACTGTTCAGATGATATGTTCATGAAGCAACCAACTCACTCTGATTTTCGGTAGTACTTCCCAGGGGTGGCTATGCAAGGTACAACATGCTAGATGAGAAGTCTGGTAGTCATGAAAGGGAGGGAAACAACTGCCCCTTCATGTCCCTAGCCTCTACCCCTGCCCCACACAGCCCCTCCCTGTCCTAATCCTGGAGCTGCAAGGAAGGAGATAGGCCTCAAACAATCAGGAGGCCAAAATACTGGGCCAAAGCTGAGGCCTCATCCCAGTCAGCAGAGGACTCTGCATGCTGTAGGCGCTTAATGAACATTATTGACTCACTGCTGCTAGATGATAATCATGCTTATATAGCCATGCCTAAAATTATTTATGCCACTTTTCAGTAGAAATTAACTAATTGCCCCCATATAGGCTAAAATTGGGTGAGGTTATGTTTTCCAATGAGTCTCAGATTATTAGGTTGGAGCATATTATATATGATTCAAGCCTCAACTTAAAATAATCACCATTACTCTGTATGCCTAGTTTTATGTATGTTTTCATTCAGTTGTAACGTGCTTTAGGGAAAAAAAAAAACAGACTTAGGACCTAAGCACAGACTTAGGACCTAAGCACAATGATGGATTTGGCTCCCATGAGGGCTAATAACGGCAAGTGAAGGTTTCCAGTAAACTAGGGTTCCTACTTACACCCAGTCAACCTATTATCCCAATAAAAGGTAAATGAACTACTTTCTTTGAAAACTATAATGCTGAGAGTTTATAGTACCCTTTCATCTTCAAAGGACCAAGCCAAGATGCACAATAGCCAGTACACAATATTATGCCTTTTACCTGAGTGCATCAACTATGAAAGGAAGGTCATAGGAATGTCCTAAGGCCATAAAGCCAATGCAACATCAGATTTGGGACCAACTCTCTGATCTTCTTGTCTCCTAGACCTGTATTTCAACCACATAAATCAAGCTGTGAAGAACAATCAGGAAAAATCTAATTCACATTATATATCTGTATTAAGTTAATTGATTGGGCAGGAATATATAAAAAGAGCAAAGACTACTCCCCCCTCAGGGCAGTGATGAATGCAGAGGGATGAAAGGGGGGATGTGAGGGTTAGGGGCAACCAGCTGGGGCAGAGAAGAAGTAGGAGAGGGAGAAGTAGGGGAGGGCCTCTCCCTGTTAAGCAGTCCCCTTCTATTGGAACATTGCCAGAGAACTGATTAGAGCACCGAGAGACAACAGAATGGGGTTAAAGGCAGCCTTTATGGCCCAACTTGAGAATCAAAGGAATCAACCCATACACAATACTTGTCTATTTACATAGTCTCTAATATATTCCTTTATAAGGGCTCCTCCTCAGAGACACACACCATCACTATCCACTATCCACCCGCCCCACACTCAGAAATCCTCAAAAAAGCAAATTGGTTGAGAAGCAAGAGGCTGCATGCCAGGGAGTCCACAGGTTGACGGGGAAACCTGGGGGATAGGTGGCTTCTGGTGAGAGATTTGGGTGGACAAGTAGGTGTGTGACGATGTAGGAAGAAGGGAAGTGAGCGTGAAGGCGGGTAGGGGAGTGTGGAAGAGAGAAAATGAAGAACCCAACGACCCCAGGATCCCAATTTTCTGCTCCAAAAAGCGCCTCCAAGAAATAATGTGCTGCACACGAAGTGTTAAGTAGCCTAAATCTTATCATCACCAAAAATGTTTCTGTAAATCTACTCCGCCGTTATTTACTTAATTCTTATGAGCAAGGAATGGAAAAACCCCACCTCTCCCGATTCAGTCGCAGTCTGTCCTATGGACATATGTAAGTTTTCCCGCTCCCCCACTGAGCTGGTTTCACAGCTAGGCCAGAAATAAGGAACCACCCAGGCGGGGATGTGAGGATCGCTCCCCTGGCAGAAAAGGGATTAAGTTTCGCTGGGCCTGCCCGCCGGCAGGGTGTCCGCAGCATCTCCGGCCGCTGCAGCAGCCACCGCCGGGCAGACGGCCTGCCGAGGGGCGCCGCCCGGGCCGAGGAGGCTGCCGGCCGCGGGAGCGTGGGAAGGCGGCGGTGTCCTTTCCCAGACTCGCGCCCAGGCGCCGGGGGAGCCG